TTAGTCCACTTCTATATCCTTCCCTTCAAGGCTCAGGGGTCCAGGATTATCTTCTGTGTCTGTGTTAATTGGTTTCCCTTTTCTTTGTTGAAGAGGTTCTGTGCAGTCTTTCTGCCTAGTCCGCCATCTTGCCGGAACCTTCCCTACCGAAACTTATTATTCTTTCCTATTAAATATTTATCTTCTTAAATTCTACTTATACCAGCTTTCTTTTGCTAGAATTTGCCTGGTAAAACTTTTCCCATTCCTTTATTTTCAACACTTCGGTGTGATTATGTTTTGGTATGTTTCTTTGAATAGTAGAGCTGGATTTTTAAAAATCAATTTCAGAGTTTCTGTCTTTGAATAGGTAAAGTTTACTGCTTACAATTATTGTAATATTGTGCAATGTTTGGATTTATTTCTACCATTTATTTTATTTTCTATTTTTACTGCTTTTCCTTGTTTTTCTCTTTTCTTTCTCTTGCACTGTTCTTATTCCCCGTCAGTTAGGAAGCTATTATATTTATATTCGATTAGTGGTAATACTTAAACCTTAGCATTTTTGTCTCACTCTCTTATTCTTCTAATGAAGTCTAAAGTGTTTCAAGGCTACCCTTCACTAAAAAAGAATAGGAACTTTAATTTACTTGACTTCCCATTGAGCATCTTCCATGTTACTTTTATCTTCTGTTTACTATTATTTAAAAACACCTAAAGCATTATTTTTATTTATATTCATTATTTAGATTTATCCATGTGCTTTACCAATATTACCATATACCACTTTGCTCATTGTTGCTTCTTGCCTCCCATTCCTTTCTCTGGTTTTATTTTTCTTCTTGCTGCAATCTACTCTTTACCAGTTCTTTCAATTAGTGCCTATGGATGAAAATTTTTTATTCTGTAGATGTTTGAAAATGTCTTTATTTTACTCTCACTATTGAATGATAGGGGAGCTCTGGTAGCATAGTGCCTAAGGCATTTGACTGCTCACCAGAAGGGTGGTGGTTTAAACCCATCAGACACTCCTTGGAAGGAAGGTTGGGCAATCTACTGCCTCGGAAACCCAAAGAGGGGTCGCTATGAGTTGGGTCTGACTCAACAGCACATAACAACAACAACTGAAT